GTGAGCTGGGAGTGGTGGGATTTGAACTGGGAGTGGTGGGATTTGAACTGGGAGTGGTGGGATTTGAACTGGGAGTGGTGGGGTTTGAACTGGGAATGGTGGGACATGGGGACACCTCGGGGACACCCTGGGGGACAGGGGACACCTCCAGGTCACCGAGGTGCTCCAGGTGGGAATGGGAATGTTGGGAATGCTGGGAATGCTGGGAATGTGGGCTGGGAGTGGTGGGGTTTGAACTGGGAGTGGTGGGGTTTGAACTGGGAGTGGTGGGGTTTGAACTGGGAATGGTGGGACATGGGGACACCTCGGGGACACCCTGGGGGACAGGGGACACCTCCAGGTCACCGAGGTGCTCCAGGTGGGAATGGGAATGTTGGGAATGTTGGGAATGCTGAGAATTTGGGCTGGGAGTGGTGGGGTTTGAACTGGGAGTGGTGGGATTTGAACTGGGAATGGTGGGGTTTGAACTGGGAATGGTGGGGTTTGAACTGGGAATGGTGGGGTTTGAACTGGGAATGGTGGGACATGGGGACACCTCGGGGACACCCCGGGGGACAGGGGACACCTCCAGGTCACCGAGGTGCTCCAGGTGGGAATGGGAACGCTGGGAATGCTGGGAATGGTGGGAATACGGGCTGGGAGTGGTGGGGTTTGAACTTGGAGCGGTGGGGTTTGAACTGGGAGTGGTGGGGTTTGAACTGGGAATGGTGGGACATGGGGACACCTCAGGGACACCCCGGGGGACAGGGGACACCTCCAGGTCACCGAGGTGCTCCAGGTGGGAACGGGAACGCTGGGAATGCTGGGAATATGGGCTGGGAGTGGTGGGGTTTGAACTGGGAGTGGCGGGATTTGAACTGGGAATGGTGGGACATGGGGACACTCTGGGGACACCCCGGGGGACAGGGGACACCTCCAGGTCACCGAGGTGCTCCAGGTGGGAATGGGAACGCTGGGAATGCTGGGAATGTTGGGAATACGGGCTGGGAGGGGTGGGGTTTGAACTGGGAGTGGTGGGATTTGAACTGGGAGTGGTGAGGTTTGAACTGGGAGTGGTGGGACATGGGGACACCTCGGGGACACCCTGGGGGACAGGGGACACCTCCAGGTCACCGAGGTGCTCCAGGTGGGAATGGGAACGCTGGGAATGCTGGGAATGCTGGGAATGGTGGGAATATGGGCTGGGAGTGGTGGGGTTTGAACTGGGAATGGTGGGGTTTGAACTGGGAATGGTGGGGTTTGAACTGGGACCGTTGGGATTTGAACTGGGAACGTTGGGAATGCTGGGATTTGAACTGGGACCGTTGGGCATGCTGGGATTTGAACTGGGAACGCTGGGAATGGTGGGATTTGAACTGGGAACGTTGGGAATGCTGGGATGTGAACTGGGAATGCTGGGATTTGAACTGGGAATGTTGGGATTTGAACTGGGAATGCTGGGATTTGAACTGGGAATGGTGGGATTTGAACTGGGAACGCTGGGATTTGAACTGGGAACGTTGGGATTTGAACTGGGAACGGTGGGATTTGAACTGGGAACGTTGGGATTTGAACTGGGAATGCTGGGATTTGAACTGGGAACATTGGGAATGCTGGGATTTGAACTGGGACCGTTGGGAATGCTGGGATTTGAACTGGGAACGCTGGGATTTGACCTGGGAACGCTGGGATTTGAACTGGGAACGTTGGGAATGGTGGGATTTGAACTGGGAATGCTGGGATTTGAACTGGGAGCGTTGGGAATGTTGGGATTTGAACTGGGAACGCTGGGATGTGAACTGGGACCGTTGGGATTTGAACTGGGAACGTTGGGAACGTTGGGATTTGAACTGGGAATGCTGGGATTTGAACTGGGAACGTTGGGATTTGAACTGGGAATGCTGGGATTTGAACTGGGACCGTTGGGAATGCTGGGATTTGAACTGGGACCGTTGGGAACGTTGGGATTTGAACTGGGAACGCTGGGATTTGACCTGGGAACGCTGGGATTTGAACTGGGAATGCTGGGATTTGAACTGGGACCGTTGGGATTTGAACTGGGAACGTTGGGATTTGAACTGGGACCGGTGGGATTTGAACTGGGAACGTTGGGATTTGAACTGGGAACGCTGGGATTTGACCTGGGAACGCTGGGATTTGAACTGGGAACGCTGGGATTTGACCTGGGAACGCTGGGATTTGAA